GTCAAATTGAATAAAATATTTGTGATAATCCAGCACAGACTACGAATGCATTCCCCAGATGAATTTTGAATACTCTTGAGCATGGTGAACTTTTGTGGGTTTCTTTAAATATAAAATTATTAAAATTTGAGTAAAAGAAATAAAAAGAGTATTTTTGGTTGAAATAATGGGATATATTGAAATATAAAATTAATAAAATTTGAGTAAAAAGAGGAGATAGTGGTAATTTGGAAGAAGAGTATCTTTAGAATAAACTTTTGGAGATTGAGTTAGGGTGTGTTTAAATATAAAATTAATAAAAGTTGAGTAAAAAGAAAAGAGAGTGTTCTTAAAGTAGTACTTTTAGATAGTGTTCTCAAAATGAAGTGAGAGTGTTTAAATATAAAATTAATAAAAGTTGAGTAAAAGGATGAAAGAGAAAGTATAAAGTTGAGTAAAATGATGAAAGAGAAGGTATAAAATTGAGTAAAAGAAAGAGAAAGTGTTTTTTTAATAATTTTATATTTTAAAAAATCCACAAAAATTCATGGATAAAGATGGTCTTATTCATCTTAGAAAAGCAAACTCAAAACTCATATATAGCCAGGGATGAAGAAATAAACAACACAAACTGCAATGTTAAGTTTGTATTTAATAATTCACATTAACATGCATCACTGACCATAACATGGAAGAATCCACAATTTTTTCAGTTTGAAACATTAAGGCGAAATGTTTGTGCATCTTTGTGGCAAGGTCTTTCTATTAGTGGAACATTACCAAGTCTTCAGTTAGGTTTTTTACTTCTTTTATTCTCTTGCTTTTTGGCTAAATATTTGAAAATATCATGATACAAAAAAAAAAAAAAATCGTAAATATCCAAAATATCGAAAAAGATGCGTCACAATCAGACCAATTAAAACTTGGTGAGCAAGGGCAATCCTATGTAATAATGAATGGAGAGGGTTGTAGGTGGAGAAGGTGTGAACATCACCAATTCTTAAATTTAGTCTCTTCAATTTTTGTCCTAGATAAAAAGCGAAGATATATTTAGGAGAGAAGAAAGGTCGTGAATCCCCCCATGTTCAGTGTCAGTCATTAGCTACGATCAGTCAGCTGCCCTTTTACTCTTTTTAAATTATGATCATCTTAAGATGAATCCAAACATATAGTATTGTGGCTTATATATGGAGGAGTCTCTAATTGATCCTGATTTTGACCCAAAAAAGCCATAGTACTAATTATAAGTAGGATAATTAGCTAGTGACTATGTGATTATGGGTTGTAATGTTGTATAGAGGACTCACTCCTATGTTTTACGATTAAGAAATGGTAATGATTTTTGTA